GCTTGCGTATTTCAATGTTTCAACTTCTTCATGCACTTAGTACACATGATAACTTGTTAAGACTGCGACTTACCAACAAATTAATAGACAGATTAAACATTCTAAACTTCAAAACGAAATATCGATTAATCCAAGTCATATTTAATTAATTTACTCTTGTTTTTTAGATGTTTTCTTGACGAATTTTGTCTTTACTCTTTTTGTTAGTCTTTGGGGAATGTTTGTGTATCAACCAAGTAATTACTTATATATATTTTTGTTGATTATTTATTTCAACCACGCATGATATTATGAAAATTATTCCATTATGATGGTTTGTTCAACCCTATTTGATATCAAAATTATTTTCTTCAGAAAAATCAATAAAACTATTCTTATTTTAGCTTATAACCAAAATCGTATCGCAAATGTTTTGCTGTTATTATGATACATATCTGGTACAAGAATCCGCAAGTACCATTGTACTAATCTATACGACTTACTTCTTGATCTTCAAGAAGAACATCTTAAAGAACAAACAAATCAGAGGTTTGATTATCACCTAAACAAAACACGTATACTTTATAATTCATCATGTTTTTTTTTTAATTATCATGCATGATCTATATAATTAATTGATGTGCATGCTATACAGTATACACAATACACACACTTGGAAAATGTTAATACTAGAAGATGATAAAAAAAGTATTAATTATTGTTCGTCGTTAATATTCTAAACCAATATGTTTTTAAGATATTGTCAAATTAATCTGGTGCAAAAGTCAAGCTTGATTTTAGTTGCTATAGGAATATTTTCAAACGTAACTAATCTCATTATAATAAACCTATGTTTTTCACACTACACCTAATTTTGACATGATTAATTTCAATTTGACGAGATATATGTTAATTAATATTCACTAAAAAGTACTAAAAGTTATGGTAATATTTTATATGGATGAACAAAAGTCAGAGGTTTTTGAACAAACTCGTCTTTAAGAGAAAAAGTGTGTATATATATGTACACACATAAATTTTAGGATCTCGTATTCACTTGTAAATTGTAATAAAACTTTTATTTATAGGTGGAAGAGTAACACTATTAAAACAACAG